TCCTCCTCCTCCTCCTCCTCCTTTTCCTCCTCCATTCCTTTTCCTGAAAACTTTTCCGTGTGGCACCCCGAGGCCGGTCGAAAGGGCGGGCCGGTCGCAAGGGCGGCTTGAGGTTCTTCACAACTACTGACCTGGAAACGTAAACGTGGCAACCGTTTCGCAGCTGGAGAGCGGGTCGTTTTCAAAATGTGGTTCTCGCCTTAGTGCCGCGCACACTCGTTTTAAAACATTCAAGAGATTTGCGGATTGAGGGCGGGTGGTTTTTGACATGTGGCTCACGCCTTGGCGCCGCGTGCATTCGTTCCAAACATTTCCAAGAGCTTCACGGAGTCAGGGCGGGTCGTGTTCAAAATGCGGCTCTCGCCTTACCGACGCGCACCTATTTCTCAAAATAGAAAATAGCACGAGCTTCACGGATTGAAGGCGGTTTGTTTTCAATATGTGGTTCTCGCCTTAGCGCCGCGCAGATTCGTTTGAACAGCTGCCAGAATTTCATAGATTTCCATGGTCAGCGTACCAGAAATGGCGTTCTGGAAAGGTTCAGGATTATGAGGGTGCAACAGTGACGTTGGTTCGCGGCATCGCAATCCCAAGAACAGCTGTCTGGCACGAGTCAGGATCGTCAAGACGCAGCAGACACGTGGATCCGTGGCGTTGGAGTCCCGCGAGGAATGTTTTGGCATAGCTCAATGTCTTCAAATAGTTGCCTTCCAATGAGGCCTTTCCCTCTGTGGACGTAAACCCTTGCTGGGACCCATTAAGGAGCTTGGAGGGAGGGTTTATTCCAACATCGTTGATGATTCTTGGGCTTACACTGGTCCTCCTCCTCCTCCTCCTCCTCCTGTTCCTCCTCCTCTGTCTCCCCCATCATCCTCCTTGTCCTCCTCTTCTCTTTTTCGCAGCGGCATCGGCCGTTCCCTGCGCCCCCGCCAACGACGCCCGCGCAGCGCGCGGCGCGGGGCCCAGAGATGAGGCGCGCCTTTTTCCGGGGGACGGGGGGAGGGAAGGGGGGGCCACCCAACTCCATCATCGAAGCATCCTCAGGCCCACATTGGTGGAAATAGAGGGGAAGAAACGGCCGGGCCGCTCATGTGATGTGGTACAGCGCTAAAATGAAGCAGACGTAGTATCTTTTTTGTACCGATGTACTTGTATACCCGTGTCCGTAACGCTGTAGTTCGTGATCTGTTCTGGCTTCAGGCAGGCTGGTCTCGCTCTTATAAGTCACGCTCGTGTTATGTTCTGCGCCGTCTGGGCGAACGGCGCGTTGAACAAAGTGTCGCCCTGAAACACGTCGAAGAATAATTGGGTAGCATAGCTTTGCAGCGTGTTTTAATATCAGGAAGCCTGTGCCCAATCTTGGTGCATTTTGCCGAGCCTTTGCTTTGAGTGTTTCCCATAGATATCCACGGTACCTGTCCGGACTCGGATCTAGGTTGATCCACGTCGGAATGCCCATCGCTCGGCCTGTACGTCAAAGGGGTCCAGGACCCCCTTTTGGCCTTTGATGGCCAGCCTTGTTTTCAGCCCCACGACGAGACGTACGCAGTTGCCCTCCCGCAGCTCAGCTTGTGGTTTCGTAGCTCTGCTGGTGGCTCTCGTAGCGCAGCAGGGGGGGGGGCTTGAAGTTCTTTTGGTGGATCTCGTAGCTGTACCTGTGGTGCTCGTGGCTCAGCTCGCGGTCCTCGCACGTCGTCTGGTGGCTCTCGTAGCTCCGCATGTGGTCCGCATGGCTCAGCTTGAGGTCCTCGGATGTCCGCTGGGGGGGGTCCCTGGTAGATTTTCTGGTGGCTGTAGTAGCTGTGTCTGTGGCTTGCGTAGCTGAGAGCATGGTCCTAGAAGGTCCGCTGGTGGCCCTGGTCGCTCTGCCGGTCGCTGTAGTAGCTCTGCTTTTTGCCCTCGTAGCACAGCTGGTGCCTCTGGTAGCTCAGCTGGTCGTCGCAGCTCTGCTTGTGGCCCTCGTAGCACAGCTGGTGGGCATCGCGTTTCAGCAGGGCTTCGTAGCGCTGCCTCGGGCCTTCGTGGCTCCGCTCGCGGTCCTCGTGGCTCAGCTGGTGGTCCTCGTAACCCTGTTTGTGGCGCTCGTAGCTCAGCTCGCAGTACTCGTAGCTCTGCCCGTGGCTCTCGTAGCTGTGCCTATGGTCCTCGTAGCTCAGTTCGGTGTTTTAGAGGCTCTGCTGGTGTCTCTTCAGGTGGCTCTCATACCTGTGCGTGTTGTTCTCGTAGTTCATCTCGTGGTCCCCGAAAGTCGTCTGGTGGCCCTGGAAGCTCTGATGGCGGCTCTAGCAATACAGAGGGTGCGGGATCGTCGGCTGCCAAGTCGCAGTGTTCTACGTTTTCGGTGCCCCTGTAGTCCTGGCGGTTGTCGTAGCCCTGCGGTCCGTCTTAGTCCTGAGGGTCGGAGGGATACAAGGCGTTATCCAGAACACTGTCGTAGTAGTACTCTTCGTAGGCGGCGCGGCCGTAGTCGTACTCCTCGTAGGCAGCGCGGCCGTTGTCCACCTGTACTTCCGTGACGACGTACTTGGTATCCCTTTGGGGCTGATCGGACGTGTCTTTCCTGGTGTCCGTTTTGGTGGCCGTGCTTCGGCTGCCTATTACAGCTTTTCTTCGGGTTGCATGTTGCGCAGCTCTTCATCAAGCTACACGTTACGCAGCTCATCCTGTCCTGTAGATCATGAAGGCGGTCGTAACGATGGTCATGACGTCGTTGGGGTGTAGTTATAGCCCGTATCTGATGAAGTCGCCATTTCTCTTGAAAGCTGCATCTGTTCATACTTCTCTGTGCGCGTATAGTTTCGGCACATTGCCGATAGTTTTCACCTGGGTGGGTAGTTATCGCAGCCGTTGTTGCGGAGTCCAGCTTGCAGTTGGTCAGCTGGAGGATGGTCTTCCACTCGTACGCGCACCGCCCAAGGGGCGGCGCGCTCGGGCCGGACCCCTTGCGCGGGTGGTGGGGGACGCCAGCCCCCCCGTAGAGACCAGACTGGCCCTTGTCCTCCTCCTCCTCCTCCTCTTCCTCCTCCTTCTCCTCCTCCTCCTCTTCCTCCTCCTGCTCCTCCTCCTCCTCCTCCTCCTCCCCCCTTCTCCTCCTCCCTGTTCCTCCTCCCTTTTCCCCCTCTTCCTCCTCCTCCTCCTCCGTCAGTTTGAAGGGGGCCGGGGGGCCCAGCCGGCAGCTTCGCCTTGGGCGAAGCCAAGCTCCAGCTCTGTTGCGTTGTACCGTAGTAACGATAGTCCCAGTAGGAGAGGATGTGCCATCTTAAGCAGTAGGAAGATCCTTTTGGTCTCGATAGCGATTGCGCGCCTCGCAATGGGGCGCGGTCATATTTGGGCGGCCGGCCGCTTGAGCCGACGCGGCCGCGGGCGCGCGCTCGCTTCCACGCCTTGCGTCCCTCAGCTCGCTTTAGAATCGGGGGGGGGGAGACGAAGCGTGACCCCGTCGCCCCTATACAGCAGGCGCAGCAGCGAAAATACACAAGGACAGAAAAAGAGGCGGGCCAGAAGGAAAGTGGGCCCGCTCGCAAGTTGCCCTGTTTGTGCACTTCTGTACTTGAAGCACTCCTCCGGCGGCGTCAGGTCTGGAAATCTGGCCGGCCCGATGCGGAGCATGTCTCTTCAGGGCATGCTTGAAGGCCTGTATACATCCCATGACTTGTAAGGGCATTTCTCTGTCAATGCTCCCCTTGGTGTGACCATCCGCGGTCATATGGCGGGCGTCGCACCATTGGATGCTGTGCGCGATTCCACGTTCCATCATCTGTCGTATCCAACTGATGTGTCCTGAAAGGGCACGCTCCGTCGGCTTCTTCAAGTCTTTGCTTGGCAAGGACTTTAGAACAGACTCAGCATCTATGGTCAAAGTACCCAAGTACATCTTTCAACTGAGTGGACGTGAGCGGCCCTGCGTGGAGCTCGTGCAGAGTCACAATCGTGGGATAACAGTCCTCCAAAGTATGGGCTGCTGCTAGTGTTTCTGCTGAATAGTTCGAGCGGACCTGCAAGCGGTGCGACTTGCAGTGCGCGTCGATCGAGTGAACGACAGGCTTACCGGATGACGTGTTTCCACGTCGTGGCAGGTTTGCCCCCCGAATACCATAGCCCTCGACGTCGTCGTCGGCGTCTCCACTCAAGCTTCGGTATCCTGAGTCGCTTTGCAGGTCGACCTCGCCCGTAAGAGTCATCGCCTGGTAGACGATCTTCTTTGGGCAGGCCTGTAGCTTCCTGGTGATCGCGCTCAGTCGTCGCACTTGGATACTGGTCGGTTCCTGGACACGCTGTAGAGATACCACATGCACCATCAACCACACCTGGGTGATTAATGCATACGCCAGCACACCCCCGAGACTGACGAACATGTCTGCAACCATCTAGGTTGCCTGAGCGTCAGCGTCGGAGCTGGTAAGTTCAGGATATTGTATAGGACGGAACTGTTTGATGTACTCATCTTGGTCCAACGTGACATTGCCGTCCTCATCTTTGGTGTATATCACAGCACAGTTAGTGCACGTGTGCTTGTTGAAACTACACTTACAAAAAATATATTCTACGCACTTGGCAAACTTGCCAATGGTGTCCTCAGTGACAGTCATATTGATAGCATCAACATGTTTGGCCGTGAGCAAGTTGTTGCTCGTCTCGAACTCCTCGTCGCAGGACGCGGGTCGGAGTCCGAAACCTCTGGTGGCCCTTCTGAGCTTTAGTGAGAAAGCCCGCGGTGCGTCTTTGGTGCCCGTGCCTGGTTT